CTGCCCCCTTGATATTGAGATAGCGTTACAGATTAAGAAGGCCTCTGATGCATTTGCAGCACCCAAGTTCTGTGTCTGGAGTCAGAATGGCATAAATATGCAGACAAAAATTAAAATATATAATTCCTGCATTATGTCATCTCTGCTATATTCATGTTAGACATGAGTAGTCTATTGCAGACATCTTAAGATACTGAAACGTTTTCATCAATGCTGCCTTCAGTCTGTGCTTGAAATACACTGGATGTCTCACACCACTGATATTGTTGTTCTATAAAGGGTTAATTCATTCTCTGTGGAAGCAATTATACACAAGCACAGATTGTGATGGACAGGCCATGTTATTCACAAGGCAGATGACAGAATGCCAAAATAATTAATGTATGGAGAATTGGAAAAAAAGAAAAAGACTGCAGCACAAGCCAAAACTTCATTACAAAGATTGCCTTGAAGAGTCACTATACAAGTGCAATATTGGTCTGGATAACTAGGAGACTCTGGCTGAAGACCAGGTTTCTTGGAGAGCTGGTATTGTTGATGGCATCAAGATCTTCCATGAGGCATCACAAAAATATGCAGAATTGAAAAAAGGAGTTCAAAAGGGATCCCTGAATTGCCTTGAGGTGCCAATCTGGCCATGTGTCTAATGCAATCGGATATGTCAGTCCAGGGCAGGTCTGTTCAGTCACCAGAAAATCACACCAACAATCTATTGCATATGACTATTTTGTAATGGTATGCTTTGAATGCCCAACCTGTACTAGAATGTGCAAATCCATGCCGTGGCCTGACAAGGCACATAAAAAGACACATTGGAAGGGATGATGTTCAAAGTCAACTTCCACCAACCAGAGATGATTTGATATGCCATATATGCAACAAAAAAAAAACAGATCCATGGCTGGCTTTTATGACCCACTGTCATTCACACAATAAATGAATGCAGTGTTGTAGAGGTGGGGGAGTTTAACTGATGAACTGGACATGTCAGTGATGGTCATACACACTTTGTGAGTGGACAGCCACTACTAATATGTATGCATGCATGTATATAAATATATATCTGTATGTATATATCTATGTGTATGTATGTATCTATATATTCAAATTTAACAAGAATGAAAAGAATATAAATTCGAACGTTCTTAGCATTAATTTAAAAGCGGTCTCAATACAATAGTTAATGAAGAATTACAAGGAAATGTATATTGACAACTTTAATTCTTTGTATAAACAGATTACTGATAAATTGAAAATCAGTCATAGAGTGGCTAAACTTTCTACTGGGGAAACTTATGTTCTACTTAAAGATCATAAATATGATTTTCTGAGTAAACTACCCACAAGAATTATTAATCCAAGTAAGTCTGAAATTGGTGGAATCTTCAAAACAATTCTAGAATGGGTGAATCTACAAATTCAAAACCAGCTTCTTCTCATACAACAGGTTGATACTACAGAAGTAATTAACTATTTAAGAATTTTGACAACAAATGTAATTGTACTTTCATCCAATTTGATAATGTATATTTCTGTCCATTTATATTTAAAGACCTATTTAAAATGGCTTTAGAATTTGAGTTTTATTCTGACATTTCTAAGGATGAAATCAATATAACTGCAAAAAAATCAATCCTAATCCAAAATAATGAACAGTGGATAAAAAATTCAGATGAAGATTTTGATGTATCTATGGGATCATTGGATTCTGTGTGTCTTCTGATTTAGTCAGATTTTTTTTATTTTATACAACCTTCCTGCATATAATGAAATTAATTTAAATAATATATGGCTTTATAGAGATGATGGTCTAGTGATAGTAAATAATTCTACTGGAATTAAAGTGGATAAGCTAAGAAAATTGATTTATAGAATATTTAAATCTTTACATCTTAAGGTTAAAATTAACTCTAATATTAAGCAGGTTGATTTCTTTGACATAACTTTAAACTTAACCCTTAATAATTTTCAACCTTTCTTGAAAAGTTAGTCCCATTTATATTGACCCTAACTTCAGTCACCCAATGTCTGTTATTTAACATTCCTCATCATTTGTTCAACATTTTATTTACCAGCACTTCTCTAGCAAAGTTATTTGATAAGCATAAAACTGTTTATAATAAAATCCTTAGTGATAGTGGTTATAGATCTTCTGAGATTAAGTATGTAGAAAATTATAGTTATTCTTGGAAGAACAGAAACTGGAAGATCATTTGGTATACACTTCCATTCAATAAATTAGTTCATACCAAATTTGGACACAAATTTTTAATTTGATTGATAAACTGTTTCCTAAGAATAGTGAATTAAGTCAAATCTTCAATTGTAACACCTTGAAAATTACCTATAGTTGTACTAAAAATCTGGATAAAATTATTAAAGCACACTATAATAAATCACTGAAATTTTATAAAGATAATAACTGTAATCCAAGCACAAATTCTAATATATCCCATGTAACTGACCTATATCTTTGTAGGAGTCCTGATCAATGTCCATTATCAAACAAATGCTTAACGGAATCCATTGTATATATATATTCTATATTGTCAAAGGAAAACCCTGAAAATATTAAATTATATGTTGGTTCCACTAGGAATGGTATAAAAAAAATGATGATATAATCATATATCTTCTTTTACTAATGCACAATATGACTTCACTTTCTAAATATTTCTGGAAATTGAAAGAAAACAAAACACCTAAAGTTAAATGGAAGATCCTTTTTATTTATATTTTAAATTTTGAATTTGAATTTTTAGTGTAATATTTTAAATAGCTTATTCATTTTGCATGTCTAATATTTTTACTTCTTAAAAGGGATTTTATTTACATACTATGTTTAATTCTATTAAATAATGTGCTTGCTTTTTTGAATAACATCAAACTTTGATCATTGCATAATATCAAGAGTGTTTCAATGTAGTAAACATTTCCGGTTGAGTTTAAATCTTTCGGGATAGGTTTTTATTTTAATGTTAACATTCTTTCATTAGCTGAATTGCTATTAACAACACATTGTCTTCCTTTGATTTCTTTTTTCTTTCTCCTTTTTTTCCGGGTTTTTTTTTTTCATTTAGATCTTCCTTCTATTTGTTTTTCTATTCTATTTTCTTCTGTTCTTTGTTTTTCTTCCTTTGGAGTTATGACGTGTTATCTTTTAATTTTTCTTAATTCTTATATTTCTCTTTCTTTCCCCTTTTATTGTTTTCTTATCCTCTTCTCTTTGCTTTTACCTATTTTCTTATTTTTTTTCTTTTCCTTTTATGAAAACCCTTTATATATTCCTTTTCCTTTTATGGTGTTTCTCCTTTGTCTTTAAAAAAAATTTAATGAAAAAAGTAAGTGCTGTTTCATAAGTAGCATTTTTAAATAGAATTATTTATAACCATCTTTGTTCCTCACCTGTCAAGATGTGTTCACATCGAAACAAAAATGCATTTTTGTTGTGAGTGCTTGTTTATCTGTATGTAACATCTTTATAATTAATATCTATCTATCTATCTATCTATATTGTTGTGAGTACTTGTTTATCTGTATGTAACGTCTTTTATAATATATATATATATATATATATATATATATATAATTATAAAGATGTTACATATAGATAAACAAGTACTCACAACAAAGATGAATTTTTGTTTCGATGTGAGGAACAAAGATGGTTATAAATAATTCTATTTAAAAATGCTACTTATGAAACAGCACTTTCTTTTTTCATTAAACTTATATATATATTTTCAAATAATAGGAAAGAACAGTCAGATTGGTAATCTAGAGTTCTTTAGCAATTATTTTTATTTTTTAAAAAACAGTGTTTGATACAAAGTAGAGCATAATATTATAATTATTTTTTTAAAAATATGTCTCATTTCAAAACCAAAGCTTAAATCCCAAAATTTAACTTTAAATTTTAAACTTAAAATTCAGAGCTCGTTTCCATTCTCAAGCGATGTTAAGAATAACTTATGAGAAAATTGGTTTTACTCTATTTTTAACTTAAGTTGGTCTCATTTTTTTTTTTTTTTTATTAAGGGGGTGTTGGCTTTTCTTCAAATGTAGAAAGCAAATGTATGTTTGTGTGGCAAATTTAAAGTCAGTTAAGGTTGGGTGGGGGTTATGATTTCTGTCTAGCTACACTGACTCTCTTTCAAGCTGTCAAGTTATTATTGTCAGGTTTATTTTATCTTATTAAGGTTTATGCTACAATATATTTGGCATTTTTTAATTTATTTTCTTTTTAAAACTACATCAAGATTTTCTTAAAGGAGTAGTTAAATATAATTAAGTCATATTTTTATACTTATATCTTTATTTACACATATCTAAAATACTATATTTAATTTACTAATATACTATATATGCTACTGTAAAATGACTACATTAGAATTTAATTACACATAAATTATTTATGATCAAATAATACATATAAATATGTGAATCATTTTTTATAATTAATTATATTTTTAAGGCATGTATTAGACAATGTCTACAGAAAACTGTTATTTTATTTCTTTGATTTAATAAATTATTTTTCAGAAACTTAATATCTAACTTTTCATGTAGGCATAAAGCACATGGGTCATCCAAACTTTTACAAGTTTTTTTTTTTAGTTTTTTTATTAGTTTTCATTTTACTGTTAGTGTTTTATTTGTTTCTCTTAATTGCCAATAATATTTGGATAGGGATATTTGGTTATGATACTTAATATTTTTGAAACCAGTTAAATGCTCTTTGCATCTTAATTTAAATTCTTTTTTTGTACATACTATATAGATTTTTACAACATTAAGATTCTCACCGGATGAGATAGTGCATTAGTAAACTATGGATTCTGTGTGGCATTCATTATTCAAAGGACGATTTTCAAGATTTCGACAGTTACATAATTTTTCTTTATTATTGTTTATTCTTATTTCAGGATCTCTATTTGTTTGATTCTGGAATAAGTATTTATTCAAGATTTTATTATGTTTTTTATAATTCCTAATTTCCAATGTTAGGTAATAGTGACAAGTGTCATCATTGTCTTTCCTGTCTTTCTTTCATCGCCTTCTTCGTCGCCTTCCCGTCTCTTTCATCGCCTTCCCGTCTCTTTCACCACATTTCCATCTCTCTTGTCACCTCTCCGTCTCTTTTTGCCACCTCTCCATCTTTTTTGCTACCTTTCCCTCTCTTTCATCAGCTTTTCGTGTGTTTTGTCACCTTCCCTTCTCTTTCATCACCTATCTCTTTTGATGCCTTCCTGTTTTGTTACTTTTCTGTTTCTTTCATTGCATTTCTGTCTTGTTTGTTGCCTTTTCATCTCTTTCATCAACTTTCCATCTTTTTTGTCACCTTTCCTACTCTTTTGATGCCTTTCTGTTTGTTTTGTTGCCTTTCCACCTCTTTCACCGCCTTTTCGTCTCATTTGTTACCTTTTTGTCTTGTTGGTTGCTTTTTTGTCTCTTTTGTTGCCTTTTCACCTTGTTCATCACTTTCTGTCTCTTTTGTCACCTTTCCATCTCTTTCATTGTCTTTCCTTTTCTTTTGTCACCTGCCATTTCGTTTGTCCCCTTTCCATCTCGTTTGTCCCCTTTCCACATCTTTTGATGCTTTTCCATCTCTTTTGCAGCTTGTCAACCTCTTTCATCACCTTTCTGTCCCTTTCACTCTTTCCTACCCTTTCGCTCTTTCCTTCCCTTTCGCTCTTTCCTTCATTTTCATGTTTTTTCCCTGCTCATTCTTTCCACATCTATTTTCCCCTCATTCTCTGTGTGTCCTTCTTTCTTCAACAGCCTACACTTTGTAATATGTTCTATTCTTTCAATAATTTCAATTTCTGACTTATTATTTTTCATTTGCTTACCCGAGGGAATTGTTGTCAGTATTTTTCCCCATTAATTTTTGATGTTCCTATTTCTGGTTTCTGAAGATTACATTAATAACCCTGACATTTTGCTTGCTTCATGTAATTAACCTTAAAGAGCAAAGTTTCTGTCCAAACAGACCGACCTCCCATTTTTTCTCTTTTTGTTTATATCTATGTCTCTAGCTATCTACCTTTTTATTGATTTTACCTGTGTGGGAAATACAAATAATTTACAGCTATGTACAATGATGAATCAGTGTCTATAACCAGACATGTGGCTTAAATTTGATCAGAACTATTCATTGTATAATGTTGAATAGATGTGATTAATGTTCAACTTACTTCCAGGTGTGACTGATTCACATTGTCTCTGTTATGAAGAATATCCACTTCTCCCATGTCGGGGATACTTTATAATGGCCTGACCATAACCAATCATGTAAAAAGTATACAAATCAAAGCAAAGTTCAGTGCTGATAATTAAAATGTGTATGTACAAAATTTAAATTCAAAATGGCAAAAAGAAATTAGCCTCAAATTTGATCAGAAATACTGACTGCATAATGTTGAATCAATGTGATCTACCCACTAAAAGTATGTTGCTGGGGTAATGAGTTTGGGAAGCATTTGTACCAGAGCATATCTGGATATGTTCAGCATTTTTCTTGAGAGGCAGACAAAGCTTAATTCTGATTTGATTTTACAAGAAAGATAATTCCAGTTGATGTCTTCAAATGCGCACGTTCTGTGTATTGTAGATTCAAAGAAACAGCAATGCCCATTATTTAAAAAGACAAATTCTCTTTCTTTTGAATATTGTATAAGATACAAATGTACATCTATTTGATATAAACCAACTGTTTCTTCTGGTGCACTGCTCTTTGCACTGAGCCATAGGAAGCACAAAGAGGCAATATTTATTTCATTAATAATTGGTAGCTAAATCAATTTTATTGTATTTTGATTTTCCTATATGAAGAAGAATACATAGACATTTTATTTTGGCAGACATGTTATAATTATGTCATAGTCTACATCATTACCTCCCTTGTTTCAGACAGGCTATTTCTCTTCATTGATTTTAGATAAACAATGAATACTTTTTCTTTTCCCTCATTTTAAGCAATAATAATAATAAAAGTTCATATGACTATTCAGGCATTTGATCTTTAGGAAATGGTTAAGATTTGAACTATATATTTATCTGATTTCAAATACATTTAAAACATTTGTGTGTGTGATATACACTAGCTTAAAAGCCACTAGATTGGATAGCATTTAAGCTAGCTCCTGTGGAGGACTCTAGATTGGGTCTTCATCACAGCAGTTAGGGAGAGTAGATACAATAGGCAACAATAACCTACAGAAGAACTCAAAATTGATTGCTGCATTTAAGTATTACTTTAATATATAAGCTTACCTTTTAAAAGTTCAATGATAATTCTGCCACCACTTAATTTAAAGATGGTTTGATGTATGTAGGTCCTCAGTTTCTGTACAAACAATTATTTTTATTTCATTGGTGACTTTCAATGGATTACACATTTAATTTTGATGATTCCCAAATTTATTTCCAAGTTGTAAAAATTGTTATTGTACAAAACAATTTATCACAAAAAATCATGTAAAAAAAAATTTGGAAATCCAAAATTTCAGGATTGTGGGTTCAGATCCAGCTTGGAATGTTCTTCATTTGCTCATAGAGTTGGCCTGATTCCAAAATGATATGATATATATTGGGTTAGGGCTTCTAGTAGTAAAGTTGAATTTTTTTCAGAATGAAAGACACTTTTTAACTCTGTGTGCATTATTGCAATCATCATAACTGAATGCTGGCTTTCTTTCCAGAAAACTGACAACCTTTTCAATGGCTTTTTCAATTTCAGTCTTGTTTTCATCACAATTAGGTTTTTTGTATTTCCTTGTTCATTGTGACTGTGTGAATGCTGGAGAATGGTTTCTTTGGAAGATTTTATATCATTCAATGTTGACTTTCCTATGTTGATCTCGGCCATTAGTTACAATGAACTTTCACCAGAGTCTCATCTGTTTAAAATTTCCACTTTTTGTGATAGCTCAAAAGTTGTTCATTTCTTCTTATTCCCATCATGTTTTGCACCAATACAAAACCAATAGACTGAAATAAGCAATTATCCAAAGTAAATTTCCTGAAAAACAGAAATTTCAAATCAGTTATATATCATCCAAATAGTTCAAATATACACATCAAAAATCATGTCTGGATATGCAGCACTCCAGATATGTAGGATTCTACTATATATATATATATATATATATATATATATATATATAAATCCAATTTGTACAATTAATAGACTGTTCTAATTATGCCATCATTCTATCAGTTATATATCCATTGCCTTAACCAGGAATTGAACTCACCTTCTTTGGGTCTGTCATGGATCTAACCAACGCCTTTAATATGAGGAATATGAACTTCTGAATTATAAAAATGTTTTCAGCATCATTTTTTAAATATTTCAGAATCATATCATTGATAAATACAATATGGGAACCAATAAGGAGTGCCAGAGAAAATAAAGTTCTCATACCCAGAAAATCACAGTGTCTTGAGTTCAATATTGGAGAACTTCCTAGAGGGAAAATACTGATAACTGACATCCACAAAAGAATTTAGAACAGTATCGGAAATAAAGGGTTCAGTTCGAAATTCCAACCACCTGAAGAAGGTCGGAGCGTATAACGGCCGAAACGTTGTGACAATATTGAGGACAATAGTCCGATATACATAATACCTCATCTCAGAAAATATATAATCAAATATGTGGGCAGTTCAATTTATATTACAATGAATCATTCATACAAAAAATAGATTAGTAAAGTTAATGATATAAAATGGCAAAATCTCTTTGCAAACCAAAATTTTAACGTTGCATTAACCTATGAACCACTTAATGAATGTTATGATCCTTGTTTTTAATAACTACAAGCTGTATAAGGTCTTTTTTTTAATCTGCAAGTACTTTCAACTGTACATACAGTCATCCTCAGGCATGAAAATTATTTTGTTTATAGTAAATCCAGGTAGCATTAGAGATGAAAGATTAAATGTGAATCGAAATATGTTTTTTTAGAAATGTGTTATTGTTAATGGATAAAAAACTTTTGGAGCATGCAGTCGCAATGCTAAGGTTGAATTTTTTTTAAATTTAAGAGAGTGAATTTTTTACTTATATATAAATGAACTTTACATCCCCAAAATCACCCTTCAAACTGAGGTTCATCTTATACTACAATTCTAAAAAGAAACCTTAAATTCTGAGTGACATTTGTTGGGAGGCTAAGCTTTGCCTTGGAGTAATAACCAATAACACACATAAAAAGATTCACATTATCAAATAAACTGATAATAAAAGTAATAAAACCATTCTTACCTTATATATTACTGGCATAAATTCATAATAAATTATCTATATGAAGAATAATTCCATATCAATTAAATTAACTTGTATCCATGCAAACTCAGCTGGGAAAATGTAAATATCAATCTATGATTGCATTCACAGAAATGGAATATACTATTATTATACATTTTCAGTAGTATTTTATGACTGTTGTTGAAGTATAAGTAAATGGCCATTAGTGCACCAGGCTGTTTGTAACTGTTTGGTTATAGGAAAAGAAGAGGAATAAGAATCAATATTTGCATGAGATCACATGATGAAACGTAAACAAAACAATGGTTTTTCTCTTTAGGGAAGGTGTGTAAGAAAAACATGATAGAGAATTTGTTTTCTTATTTTGAGTTTATACATATACAGTAAGTGACAACATTTTCAATAACATCATCTTTATATAATCAATAAGCAATCATCTTTTTCTACAGGTATCATATAAATTCATGAAAATTTGCTATATTTCTTGACTTCATGGTATTGCAAGGACACCTTATATGGTGTGTATTCCTTTTCTTATATATATATATATAAAAGTTCTCAATGTTAAACACTTTTAAAAGAAATGTTTAATATACATAAAAATAACAGACAAAGGATGACAAAAAAATTTATTACAGACAGATTTTGCTGAAGAAGTTTGTTCACTTTGTCTTCTTCAGTTCAAATAAAAGACAGAAAGAACTGTGAGAAAAATACCCTCTGAGGACAAGTAGTTCTTTTATATATATATATATATATATATATATAAGTTAAACAATAGAATAGAATTGCATGTTTTCCAAATTCCATAATTTCTCAGCCTGCTGGAATCAATTTCTAGCAATGTCTTCAACATTGACCAAACTGAATTTAGAAGATTTGCTGTTAATTGTATTGATTTCTGCTTATTGATATTTGATCACATTTTTGGATTATTTGATTTCTATTTCTATGACCAAACACCATAATTTTGTTGTACTAATGTCCTTGTTTGCTGCAGAATCATATAATTACAATAAGGTGTATTTATTAGTTTTAGTAAAAAAAGTCTGTCTTCTGACAGAAACTGAACTTGCAATCCCTATTTCCATCAGGTGAAACCATTTCTATAGCTAAAGCAGGATGTTACCAATTAGACCATGAAAAACAAGCAAGAGACAAGGCTTAATTAACTATTTAAAATCGCAAGAGGCGTACTAAATAAATTCTAATGTTTGACCATTTACTAAGATATAGACCATTTAAATATTGTCATAGTGCCTTGCTGAATTTTGTCTTAAGTATAATAATAAACTAAATCTAGCAAGTACATTGGGAGGTTTTGATGAATGTGGAACCACCTCTTAATTAATGTTGTTCCCAGGTTCATACTGATCCAGGGTGGTAGCACCTGTTAGGGTCCCAGGTATGGGCACAGCATGCACCCCCCCCCCAAAAAAAAAAACTGGGGTCAGAATATGAAAATACATTAGAAACAATTAACATCAATACATTTTGATAGTAATTAAGAAATTACAAACA